GTTAATGGTCTGAGATGATTTATTGTTGTTGAGCCCCATGCACAGATTCCATAGGTGAGATAAGGGTGAATGAGAGAATGATACAAGGCAAGGAGTGCTGATTGTGGAACATAGTACCGTATCTTCGATAGTATGCCTACAGTCTTGGAGATTTTCTTGGAAATTTGTTGTACATGTGTCTGAAATTTGAGGATATTATCAAGGTGGATTCCTAAGAATTTTTCCTCTGTGAGCTTTGTGACAGGAGAACCATTTATTGTTATGTTAAGTGGAACATTTGTGGTTCTGTTCCCAAACTGAATGAAGTAGGTTTTGTCAATATTGAGAGTAAGCTTGTTAATCACCATCCAGGTAGATATTTTCTGTAATTCAGTATTTACAGTATTGGCTAGTATGACTGGGCTTGGGTGAGAGAAGACGTATGTAGGGTCTTCTGCAAATAGTGTGGGTTTGACTAGTTGAGATGCATTTGGTAGGTCATTTATGTAAATGAGAAAGAGGAGTGGGCCAAGGACACTTCCCTGTGGGACACCAACTGTAATTGGTTGTGTGGAAGCGTTAGCTCCATTTGTGTACATGTATTGACTTCTGTTGCTAAGGTATGACTTTAGGTGGTTGAGGGAGTGCCCTCTTATATCATAGTGTGATAATTTTATGTGCAACAAATCATGGTCAACTGTATCAAAAGCTTTATATAAATCAATGAAGCTTCCCAATGGGACTTCTTTTTTCTTGAGTGCAGTGTATATTAGTTCCACCGTGTGCATAATAGCATCATTTGTATTTTTATTAGGCTCGAACCCAAACTGACAGGGGTTGAGTATGTTGTGGGAGATGAGGTAGGAACAGATTTGTCTTTGGATTAATTTTTCAAAGATTTTAGAGAGAAAGGGTAAGTTGGATATTGGCCTATAGTTATTCAGGTCTGCTTGATCTCCTCCTGTATGTATCAGGGTGACCCTCGCTATTTTGAGAATTGTAGGGAAGGTATCAGATTCGATGGATTTATTAACCCTTTGACTGTCGCGGCCATATATATACGTCTTACAAGGTACCGTGTTTGACGTATATATACTCATAAATTCTAGCGGCTTCAAATCAAGCAGGAGAAAGCTGGTAGGCCCACATGTGAGAGAATGGGTCTGTGTGGTCAGTGTGCACCATATAAAAAAAATCCTGGAGCACGCAGTCCATAATAAGAAAAAAAAAACTCCAACAGTTTTTTTTTAATTAAAATGCCGACTTTGTAGTCTATTTTCGTATAGTATTTATGGTTGTATTCTCATTTTCTTGGTCTCATTTGATAGAATGGAAAATATATTATAGAAATAGAGGTGATTTTGGTTGATTTTACTATAAAAAGAACCTGGAAATGGAGCACAAAGTACGGGAAATGTTTGATTTTTGCCGATGTTCAAAAGTAAACAAATGATGTCATTGTCCAATAAATGTCCAAATAGCCATTCTAATATGCAGTCATGAATGGGTTGATGTAATTTTTACGATTATTACAGTATTGCAGTAGTCTGCATAACAGTAAATCTTCTATTTTTTGTTTGAATAAAATTTCAAAATAAAAAGCAAGAGTAATATCAGAGGGGCCTGGAGACATGACTGATGAACAAAGAAAATGTTATTTTAGAGCCAGGAATGTCTGCATTGTTCATTCTGGACCCTATTTTGAAATTGTCATATTTTTTAATTTTCGTGAAATTGGCCAAATTGCAAATTTCTGACCATGTAATTGGGTAGTTGAAATCGGTAAATGGGCAGTTTCTTGTACTCAATCGATAGAAAAAAATGGAGTTCTAAAGAAATAGCTATGAGTTTGGTTGACTGGAATAATGGATTTAGCCGAAAATAGGGCTCAAAGTGGGCGAAATCGACGATTTGTAAATATTGCCGAGGTCGCTAACTTTGCAAGAGCGTAATTCCATCAGTTTTCCATCAAATTTCGTTTTTTTTGGTGTCTTTACAATCGGGAAAAAGATTCTCTATCATTTCATAAGAAAAAATAATTTTTTTTTTTTTTTTTGAAATTTTGTGACACCAGGAGACACCTCAGGATTGGGGGTTGCAACAGTCAAGGGGTTAAGGGAGGGGCGAGCCTTTTTCCACTTTCAGGAAATTAAAATTGAAAAATTATGGAAAAAAAAAATTTCTGATTGAAAAATAGTACAAAATTCTGAGAACATTTTGATGTAATCTGCTTGTTTCTGTTGTATTTTTAAGTATGCTTTTCATTAAATGTATTTTTTTTTTTTTGTTGCTGCTGTCAGCAAAAATACATGTTGGCAATTAATGTTTTTTTTTTTCTTTTTTTCTCCAAAAATTATGATTTTTATGATTGTTTCATTGTAAATACTCTACATGGCATCTTCTGTGCTGGCTAGTGTGTGGAGCGAGGTCAGTGTCTGCCTTAGTAGCTATCAGGCTGTCAACAAGCAAGGAGGGGTGCAACACGTTCAGATTTGGTGTGCAGTAACCGTAGAGTTTCACACCCAACAAAATCAATAATAAATCAGAAATAAGTTATTGACACTGTAATCCATCTCCTGCGATAAATATTAATGGGATTGTCATGATTTTTGCAGACGTTATTGAGGAATGATAGTTCTACAAACATCCACAGTGGATTTGTGATACTGTTTACAGCTTTGTTTTTTTTTATAATTTTTTTGTACACGAAAAAACAATAAAAACAAAATTACTGACTTCAACAATTTTTTTATGGAATCTACTGACATTATCACTAAACTGCTCTGGGTCATTATTAATCTAGCCTTTATCTTTCATCTGATGTCAACTACAGCATTGTACATCTTCGCAATTTAGTAGAAACTGGAAAGTCCTAGGACCCATAAAATTGTGCAAAAATAGTTTTTTTCTATCTAACTTGAAGGCTAGCAGTCAAAACAAACACAGCCTCTATGTTTTTTAAGCTGCTTAATCCAATGTAAGAATTCCATTGAAATCTGATAAAAAAAAAAAGTTGGTGATTCTGCTCTCCCCTCCCTTAACCCTTAAATGGTCCAAACGTATATATACATTTTTTCAACATCTGAAAGTATGTAAAAAAAATGTAGATCTTTTTTGTTTTACATTTGAAAACGTGTAAAAAAACTTTTATCTACATTTTTTTTTTTATATTTGAAAATATGTAAAAAAAAGTAGATCTACTTTCGGAGCACTACAAATTTGAACGTCGATCTGTTTGGACCGTTTAAGGGTTAAAGAGTGTTGCAGTAATTGGTGACAGTTGACTTACCTGGAAAGGGTTTCGGGGGTCAACGCCCCCACGACCCAGTCTGAGACCAGGCCTCATGGTGGGTCAGGGTCTGATCAACTAGGCTGTTACTGCTGGCCACACGCAAGCTGACGTACGAACCACAGCCCAGTTGGTCAGGTACTGACTTTATGTGCCTGTCCAGTGCCTTCTTGAAGACAGCTAGGGGTCTATTGGTAATCCCCCTTATGTATGCTGGGAGGCAAATGAACAGTCTTGGGGCCCCAGACACTTATTGTGTTGTCTCTCAGTGTACCCGTGGAGCCTCTGCTTTTCATCGGGGGAATGTTGCATCTCCTGGTGAGTCTTTTGCTTTCATAGGGAGTGATTTTCGAGTGCAGGTTTGGTACCAATCCCTCCAGGACCTTCCAAGTGTATATTATCATGTATCTTGCCTGCATTCAAGGGAATATAGATCAAGGACCTTCAACCGTTCCCAGTAGTTTAGGTGCCTTATTGTACTTATGTGTGCTGTGAAAGTTCTTTGTACACTCTCCAGGTCTGCAATGTCGCCAGCCTTGAAGGGGGCCGTTAGTGTACAGCAGTATTCCAGCCTAGAGAGCACAAACGATTTGAAGAGAATTATCATGGGCTTGGCGTCCCTAGTTTTGAAGGTTCTCATTATCCATCCTATCATTTTTCCTAGTGGATGAGGTAGATACATTGTTGTAGTCTTTGAAGGCGAGATCCTCTGACATTATCACTCCCAGCTGTGAAGCTTTTTTGTATTTAAAGGGTGTTAAGTTATTTAAATCTCCTGCCTTGTTCTTTAGTGTGTTGATAATAAGTGAGACATCTGTTGGGTTAGTCGGAGCTAGGAATAGTGTGTTCGGGTAGGTGCCAGTGAGGTAGTTGTTAGGTGGGGTGTTTGAGCTTGGGATTTTGCTCGCCAGGTTTTATACTATGGTGGAGAAGAAAACATTGAGTCTGTTTGCTGTTTCAGTTGGTGGGAGTTGGGGTTAATCTGGTTTTGTTAGTTTGATTGTTCTGTTTCCTGGTATCTTTTTGGTTCCTAGAATTTCAGATAGGGTTTTCCAGGTCTTTTTTGTATCATCCTTTAAGTTAAATAATCTGTTCTCATAATACAGTTTTTTTGCCTTTCTTATCAGGCTGGTAATAAAGAAAATTATCTAAATGGATATAACTGACCATAATTTTTAAAGGGGTGGACCGGTAAGCCAGCAGAAGGCCTCTGTCAGATGACCAAAAGCTCCAATGGCAGGTCATCATGTGCCTAAGACCTGCGTCAAGAAATGCTTGTCCTGTTTCCTGACGAACCTTACGTAACCTTATCAGGCTGGTTAGGATTGATGAGTAATGTTTTGTTTGGTCTCTGGTTATTAGACCCATTCTGTACTGTTTTTCATATAGGTGCTTTATATTTATGGATTTGAGGATGCTGGGTGTTAGCCAGGGACTGTTCAGTCTCTTAGCTGTGATCTGTTTAGTTTTTTTAGGGCAATTCTTGTTATAGAGGTATTGGATCTTTGGCTAATGTTATCATTCACAAGAATAACCAAAATAACAAGAGATTTGGGTGTGGAAAAGCCATGGAGCCAAAAAAAAACATTGGATAATTTAATCTATTTTTGGTTACTCATCAGTAAAAATGTTAGTTAATTGAAATCTGTGAATAAGGAAGCAAACAAATTTGTAGGGTTGTCTGTATTTGGAATTTGAGTTACTCTCATTTTAATAACATATTATATTTCAGGTTAGAAATGATAACAGCAAATGGAGTGGCAGGGGGAATCTGACAACACCACATGGTTTATCTGTTACCACATGGGACTGCTGGGTGAAACATAATAACTGGCAGCCAAGCAGTGAGAACTATCATCAGCCTGTGCCTAGATGCAGCACTCGAGTCACACCTCACCTCCTTGTTACTACATTAGCAGAATTTCCTTATCTCAGTGCCACCCTCCAAGAGCTTGAGGAGGAAAAACTTCTGGAACCTCTAAGTGTACAAGAAATAATTTCACAGCATGAGGATATATTTTCCTTTAATGGAAATGTTGTGCAGTTGACACCATGTGTAAGTATCTGTTCTGCACACTCTGGACCAGTGGGATGCCAGGTCTCATCTTGTAATAATGTGCATATTTGCCCAAAGTATGTTAAGGATTGGTGTAGTGACAAGAGTTGTCCACTGGGTCATAATTGGCACACCAGTCGAAATATGAGAGTTCTTTCTCGTTTGTATCTTGAGATGCTTACTTTTGTAACACTCAAAAAGCTCTTCAGGTCTACTTGTAGGAAGGCCCTTAATGGTGTTGAGGGCCAGCTGGATGTGTGCCGTGGCTACAATGAAGGAGGCTGTGGCCAGTCTGATTGTGGGGCACTCCATGTATGCTTGAGCTTTCTCAAGGGATTAAAGGGATGTTCTGATGATGTCTGTCAACTTAACCACAATCTGCTCAGTCCTGACTGTTGTCAGCTACTGAAGGCTCATGGCTTCTCTACTAATGAAGCCCCACGGGACATTGTGATGGCACTCTTCTCCACAAATCCCACCTTTGCAGGGCTTGCCAAGGATCTACAACCTATCACGGCTTTAAAAAATACTCGTAAGTCACTTAAAAAATCAAATCACATGTACACATTCTTTCATATAAATATATATAATTTTACCCATTATATAAATAATGTATACAGTAAATTTATTTAGATAGAATTTCTTGTAAAATTGGATATCAAATTGGGAAAGAGGAATATGGAAGAAGTGAATGTTTTTAGATATTTGGGAGTTGACGTATCAGCGGGTGGATTTATGAAGGATGAGGTTAATCATAGAATTGATGAGGGAAAAAAAGTGAGTGGTGCATTGAGGTATATGTGGAGACAAAGAACATTATCTATGGAGGCAAAGAAGGGAATGTATGAAAGTATAGTGGTACCAACACTCTTATATGGGTGTGAAGCTTGGGTTGTAAATGCTGCAGCGAGACAGCGGTTGGAGGCAGTGGAGATGTCCTGTCTAAGGGCAATGTGTGGTGTAAATATTATGCAGAAAATTCGGAGTATGGAAATTAGGAGAAGGTGTGGAGTTAATAAAAGTATTAGTCAGAGGGCTGAAGAGGGGTTGTTGAGGTGGTTTGATCATTTAGAGGAGAGAATGGATCAAAATAGAATGACATGGAGAGTACAGTATATAAATCTGTAGGGGAAGGAAAGTGGGGTAGGGGTCGTCCTTGAAAGGGTTGAAGGGAGGGGTTAAAGGAGGTTGTGTGGGTGAGGGGCTTGGATTTCCAGTAAGTGTGCATGAGCGTGTTAGATAGGAGTGAATGGAGACGAATGGTATTTGGGACCTGACGAGCTGTTCGAGTGTGAGCAAGATAATATTTAGTGAAGGAATTCAGGGAAACCGGTTATTTTATATAGCCAGACTTGAGTCCTGGAAATGGGAAGTACAATGCCTGCACTTTAAAGGAGGGGTTTGGGATATTGGCAGTTTGGAGGAATATACAGTGGACCCTCGCCTAACGATGGCATCGCATAACGTTAAATCTGCCTAGCGATACATTTTAACGCAAAAATTTTGCCTCACCTCGCACTAAAAAACTTGCTCAATGCGATTCGTCCAAGACGCGTCCACGTGCGGCCAGAGCCAGCCTCACTTGTTCCGTGGGTGGCAGTGTTTATAAGCCAGCCTCCGCGGTCACATCCAAGCATACAATCGGAACATTTCGTATTATCACAGCGTTTTTTGTGATTTCACCTGCAAAATAAGTGACCATGGGCCCCAAGAAAGCTTCTAGTGCCAACCCTACAGGAATAAGGGTGAGAATTACTAGGATATGAAGAAAGAGATCATTGCTAAGTATGAAAGTTGAGTGCGTGTCTCCGAGCTGGCCAGGTTGTATAGTAAACCCCAATCAACCATCGCTACTATTGTGGCCAAGAAAACGGCAATCAAGGAAGCTATTCTTGCCAAAGGTGCAATTTTGTTTTCGAAACAGAGATCGCAAGTGATAGAAGATGTTGAGAGACTGTTATTGGTGTGGATAAACGAAAAACAGATAGCAGGAGATAGCATCTCTCAAGCGATCATATGTGAAAAGGCTAGGAAGTTGCATGAGGATTTAATTAGAAAAATGCCTGCAACTAGTGGTGATGTGAGTGAATTTAAGGCCAGCAAAGGTTGGTTTGAGAGATTTAAGAATCGTAGTGGCATACATAGTGTGATAAGGCATGGTGAGGCTGCCAGTTTGGACCACAAAACAACTGAAAAATCTGTGCATGAATTCAAGGAGTACATAGAGGCTGAAGGATTGAAACCTGAACAAGTGTTTAAGTGTGACGAAACAGGCCTGTTTTGGAAGAAAATGCCAAGCAGGACCTACATTACTGAGGAGGAAAAGGCACTCCCAGGACATAAGCCTATGAAAGACAGGCTTACTCTGTTGATGTGTGCCAATGCTAGTGGTGATTGCAAAGTGAAGCCTTTATTGGTGTATCACTCTGAAACACCCAGAGCGTTCAGGCAAAAGAATATCCTCAAGGCTAATTTGTGTGTGCTGTGGAGGGCAAATAGTAAGGCATGGGTCACTAGGGACTTTTTCTATGACTGGTTACACCATGCATTTGCCCCCACTGTGAAAAATTACCTAAATGAAAATAAATTTGACCTTAAGTGCCTCCTGGTATTAGACAATGCTCCTGGTCATCCTTCAGACGTGGCAGAGCGACTTTCTGCAGACATGAGCTTCATTAAGATCAAGTTTTTGCCTCCTAATACCACTCCTCTCCTGCAGCCCATGGACCAGCAGGTCATTGCAAACTTCAAAAAACTACAGAAAAGCTCTGTTTGAAAGGTGCTTTGTAGTGACCTCAGAAACTCAATTGACTCTAAGAGAGCTTTGGAGAGATCACTTTAATATCCTCAACTGTGTAAACCTTATAGGTAAGGCTTGGGAGGGAGTGACTAAGAGGACCTTGAACTCTGCTTGGAAGAAACTGTGGCCAGAATGTGTAGACAAAAGGTATTTTGAAGGATTTGAGGCTAACCCTGAGAAGCGTATGCCAGTTGAGGAATCCTTTGTGGCATTGGGGAAGTCCTTGGGGTTGGAGGTTAGTGGGGAGGATGTGGAAGAGTTGGTGGAGGAGGACAATGAAGAACTAACCACTGATGAGCTGCAAGATCATCTTCAACAGCAAGAGGCCACACCTGAGGAAACTGCTTCGGAGGAGGGGAGAGAGAAATTGAAGAAGTTGCCTACTTCAAAGATTAAGGAAATGTGTGCAGTGTGGCTTAAAGTGCAAACCTTTTTTGATGAAAATCACCCTGACACAACTATTGCAAGCTGTGCTGGTGACTATTACACTAACAATGTTGTGAAACGCTTTAGGAAAGTCATAAAGGAACGGGAGGTACAGGCCTCTATGGACAGATATGTTGTGCGACAGAAGTCCAGTGACTCTCAAGCTGGTCCTAGTGGCATTAAAAGAAGGGAAGTAACCCCGAAAAAGGACTTGCTACCTCAAGTCCTAATGGAAGGGGATTCCCCTTCTAAACACTAAGACCATCCACATTCTCCCCTCCTCCCATCCCATCAGTCATCACCAGATCTTCAATAAAGGTAAGTGTCATGTAACTGTGCATGTCTTCTTCAGTTTGTGTGTATTAAAATTAATATTTTATGTGGTAAAAATTTTTTTTTTTCATACTTTGGGGTGTCAGGAACGGATTAATTTGATTTCCATTATTTCTTATGGGGAAAATTAATTCGCCTAACGATAATTTCGCCTAACGTTGAGCTCTCAGGAACGGATTAATATCATTAGGCGAGGGTCCACTGTATTGTGTATTTTTATACGTATATACTTCTAGACTGTTGTATTCTGAGCATCTCTGCAAAAACAGTGATTATGTGTGAGTGAGGTGAAAGTGTTGAATGATGAAAGTATTTTCTTGTTGGGGATTTTCTTTCTTTTTGGGTCACCCTGCCTCAGTGGGAGACTGCCGACTTGTTAAAAAAAAAAAAAAAAATGTTAAATTTTACTGTTATTAAGCAGAATATGATACTGCACATGGATTTTTAATGAAATCCAACAAACTGATCATGCACAAGTGTGAATCCTAATTCTTATTTGAAGATGACAGAGTAATGGAGGAAGATCAGTGTGACCCCCTCTGGTCACTTTCAGAAGACTGCAGTTGGAACAAGAATGAAGAGGTAAGAACCAATCAGCAAAGTTTCTAATAAACAAAATTTGCTTCTTTCTAACCCATATTATAAGTCACATAATTTTCTAGTTTTGGGATATTCATTTCGATATTAACCCTTTTGGTTTCGGTGCTGTAATATTACAGCTTTAAAGCCGTAATTCTGTGCCAAAATTCAAGCAGCTTCATGTGAGAGAATGGGTCTGCATAGTCAGAGTATGCAGTACAGCTTCTCACATAACGACGGAGTCACTTTCCTAAGATGTCACCCTTGCACCATTTATAAAATTTTTAGTATGTTTTTAAATGTTTATACAGTAGTGTACTGGCCATCCAGCCAGCCACTGGATGGCGAAGCGTCTACGATAGAGATGCCCGGGTGTTGCGCATGTGTCTTAATTTCATCTTGTCAGTATTATATACCATTCTTGTACTATTACTACTACTACCACCACCTCTTCCTGCCTATATATAGCCGTCCTGCTCCACTTCTGGTTAGTGTGACTTTGTAAATGGTCCAAGTCGGACCGAAACGTCGTCGTAAGCTTCTCACTTTTATGTGCGGGTTATTTGTGTATGAATGGCACCATTTGGTACAATGGTATCATATGATACAATGGTACCATATGGTGCAATGGTACCATATGGTGCAATGGTACCATATGGTGCAGTGGTCCCACTTGGTACAATGGAGGCCTGGTCACAGACCGGGCCGCAGGGGCGTTGACCCCCGGAACTCTCTCCAGGTAAACTCCAGGTAATACAGTGCAATGATACCATATGGTGCTATATGGTACTGTTGTATTCAACACAATAAACACACTAGTATTTTCATCATTATTTTGTTTACAATAATTGTTTACAACAAAAATATGCAAAAATGTTGTATATTAGTAATGTTTTATTATATATTTACAAATGTACAGGAACTCGACACGTTACTTGAGGTGGATGACAGAGCGCTTTGTCTTGGAAACTGCTGAGTCAGTAGCTGGCTTGTGTTGCCACTCACTCAGTCTTGGCTGGTGCCTGCTGCCACCAACACGTCCTATTGACCATATGGTACATCATACCATATGTTACAGGGTACCATATGGTACTTTGTACTATATGGTATAGGGTACAATACAGTACAGGATAACATATGGTACAGGGTACCATATGGTACAGGGTACCATATGGTGCAGAGTACCATATGGTGCAGGGTACCATATGGTATAGGGTACCATATGGTGCAGGGTACCATATGGTACAGGGTACCATGTGGTACAGGACACCATATGGTACAGATACAGGGATCCCTATGGAAATAAGTCACCCTGACTTTTTTGGGTTATCCTAGGATTTTATACATATGCTGCTATGTGTGATAATCTATGTAATTGTATTTGTGTACACCTGAATAAACTTACTCAAGCGCATGTGGCATCGTAAGTAAGTTTATTTAGGTATATACAAATAAAGTTACGTAGAATATCATACTTAGCAGCATATGCTTGGAGAACCTAGGATAACCAAAAAAGTCAGAGAGATTTATTTCCATTAGGGTCCCTGTACCCTGTACTATATGGTACAATGTACCATATGGTACAATGTACCATTGGCACATTGTACCATATGATACCATTGTATGACATGGCACCATTGTACCATATGGTACCGTTGTACCATATGGTACAATGGTACCATATGGTTCAAAACCTTAGAATTCCTCTTCAGCTGTACTTCCATCAGTCTTAGAACTGTAAGTTGTGAAGAGGAGAGTCAGAATTTGCCCGGAGAGTGAGAGCTTCCTTGCCGCCGGGCATGATGAACAAAGCTACTTTGGCGGTGTTCCCACAATGCCATGTGGGCATCCAGATTTTTTCTATAGTGTGCACACTGACCACCCAGACCCATTCTCTCAGATGTAGGCCTACCAGCCTTCTCGTGCTAAATCTGACGCCGCTAGAATTTTGGCGTAGATCTACGGTTTGGACCCTGAGCGTAAAGCCGTAGATCTACGGGACGGACCCTGAAAGGGTTAAAACAGTGACTTTACAGTGTATTTTTGTATGGTATTTATGGTTGTATTCTCGTTTTCTTGGAATCATTTGATAGAATGGAAAACATTACAGAAATATTAGTGATTTTGAATGGTTTACTGAAAAAAAAAATTGCTTGAAATTGAGCTCCAAGTAGCAGAAATGTTTGATTTTTGACAATGTTCAAGAGTAAGCAAATCACATCACACGTCCAATACACGTCAATTGGTGGGTCTCATATGCATTTACAAATGCACTGATATTATTTATACAAATATTACACATTATGCAGTAATTTGAATAACAGTAAATCATCTATGTTTTGTGTGAATAAAAATTTAAAATGAAAAATAAGCATAATATATGAGGGACCTGGAAATGTAACTAATGAACAGAGAAATTATTTTAATGCCAGGAATGTCTGCTTTGTTAATTCTGGTCCCTATTTTGAAATTGGCCTTTCTTGAATTTTGTGTGAAATTGACCAAATTAGTAATTTCTGATCACTTTTTTGTGTAGTTAAAATAGGTAAACAAGTGATTTCTTGTACTCAATCGATAGAGTAAAAAGAGTTCTAGCGAAATACTTATGAGTCTGGATGATTAGAACAAAGGAATTTCCCCAAAATATGGCATAAAGGGGTGAAATTGCCAGTGCGTAAATATTGCCAAGACCACTAACTTCATGAGAGTGTAATTTCATAAGTTTTCCATTAAATTTCAAACTTGGGTTTCATTACCTTCGGAAAAAGATTCTTTATCATTTCACAATTTTTTTTTTTTTTTAAATTCTTTGGCACTGTGAGTAAGTTTGTGAGCAGGGGTCTCAACTTTCAAAGGGTTAATCTACATTTCTTGGTGCTTGACACTCTGGATTAACATGATTTCTAAAAGTTTTCATAAAGAGAAATAAAAATACTAAATATCTCATACTGAATTATGTGTCATAAATTGGTTATACAGTTGACCGTCAATTATGACAGTAGTTATATTCTTGAAAATAGTGTCTAAGACAAAAATCGTCTAAAAGAAACTGAAGAACATACGGGAAAAATAGGGTAATGTTCTTTGCCCCCCCCCCCAAAAAAAAATGGCAGGCAACTTTGCTTCTTTTAGGTCTCCACATTTTAAACAATTAAAAATTATATACAGTAGATCCCCGTTTTTCATCCTTAATCCATTCCAGAAGGTTGTCCACCAACTCTTCCACATCTTGGCCACTCACATCCAACCCCATGGACTTCCCCAAAGCCACAATAGATTAAACAACAGATGTAGGGTTGTCAAGTTTACGCTAATTTATACAGTGGACCCTTGTTTTTCATAATTCGTTCTTGAGAGTGTGACTGTTATCGAAACTGATGATTTGCGAATCTGATCCACTAGGAGGCCTGGTCACAGACCGGGCCGCGGGGGCGTTGACCCCCGGAACTCTCTCCAGGTATTCCAGGTATAAGAAATCATGTAAATCCAATTAACTCATTCCAGATGCCCAGAAGTATCAAAAAAAAATTTTTTTACCTTAAAGATAGATTTACATGCACAAAAGAATGAACATTCAGCATGACAATTACCTTTATTGAAGGCTGTCGTTGATGAATGGAAGACAGGGAGGAGGAGAGAGGGAAGAGAGGTTATTGTTTGGAAGGGGAATCCCCCTTCATAAGAACTCTAGGTCACTTCAGGGGTCACTTCCCTAGCTTAAATATAGATTTACATGCAGAAAAGAATGCCAAATAAACGTAAAGCACTAATAAAATGTATAAATGAACATTTAACATCACACTTACCTTTACTGAAGACTCTTGTTGGTGTATGACAGATGGGGCAGAGGGAGGGAAGGAGAGTTTATTGTTGGAGAATATGACACTAATATCAACTCTATGGCTTATTTTCAATCACAATTCAACTAATAATAAACAATATTAATAACATAGAGACATGGAATATACTCTAGAATGAATAAAATAAGTCATTATGTATGTCACGAGAGGTGTTGTGTTGTATTGTTGTTGGGTGTACAAGGGCCACTGAGAGCATAAGCCATCCATAATGGTGGTGAAGCATCAGCTGAGGTGGCAGTGTTTTCTGTAGCCCTATATAACTCCAACAACATTGGAGGAGTTAGTAAGATCGCTGAATCACAGAAGAAGGCATTCTCTACCACCATCACAACCACTACCACCCTCTACCACCATCACAACCACTACCATCACTACCACCCTCAACCACTATCACAACTGCTACCACCCTCTACCACTATCACAACTGCTACCACCCTCTACCACCATCACAACCACTACCATCCTCTACCACCATCACAACCACTACCATCACTACCACCCTCTACCACTATCACAACTGCTACCATCCTCTACCACCATCACTACCACCCTCTACCACTATCACAACTGCTACCACCCTCTACCACCATCACTACCACCTTCTACCACCATCACAACCATTACCACCTTCTACCATCATCACAACCACTACCATCACTACCACTCTCACAACTGCTACCACCATCACTACCACCCTCTACCACTATCACAACTGCTGCCACCCTCTACCACCATCAGTACCACCCTCTACCACTATCACAACTGCTACCACCCTCTTCCACTATCATAACTGCTACCACCAGCCACAAAATAGAGCGAAAACCCAACGTCAAAGACCTGGGAGTGATCATGTCGGAGGATCTCACCTTCAAGGACCATAACATTGTATCAATCGCAGCTGCTAGAAAAATGACAGGATGGATAATGAGAACCTTCAAAACTAGGGATGCCAAGCCCATGATGACACTCTTCAGGTCGCTTGTTCTATCTAGGCTGGAATATTGCTGCACACTTACAGCACCTTTCAAGGCAGGTGAAATTGCCGACCTAGAAAATGTACAGAGAACCTTCATGGCACGCATAACGGAGATAAAACACCTCAATTACTGGGAGCGCTTGAAGTTCCTGAATCTGTACTCCCTG